TTGCTCAGGCTGGTTTCGAACTCCTGACCTCGAGCAAGCCACCCGCCTCGGCCTCCCAGAGAGCTAGGATTACAGGCGTGAGCCACCGCGCCCGGCCTCTCTGAGATCATTTCTGCATCTGGGCCAGAATTGGTGCTCACCTCGTGCCCCAGCATCTACCCTACACACACACACACACACACACACACACACACACATGCACATACATGCATCAACAATGTTCCATTTCCTCTCTCTGCAGCCTGCACCGGGGGCTCTCACTGATGGGCACAGCACCTGCTTCCTGCACCATCACAGCAAGGTGACAGGTGGCTGTCTTGCCCAGCCCTGAGGAGCAGCCCTGGAAAGAGGATAACTGTTAAGCCTGACTTTGACCCTTGCAACTTGGCAGGGCCAGATAAGGGCCAGCTGGCTACATGTGCAAGAGCCAGGCCAGACCCCTGCCGTGCCCATCCATCTGGGTCCCTGTGCAGCCACTCCAGGAACTTCCTGTTGCCTCCCTCTGGGACCCTGGGGATGGCTCAGCTTTAAGCTACAGGGGTAGAGTTCTCATTCATTCAATAACTAGTTCTGAGCACCTGCTGTATGCCAAACACCACTGCTGTTTCTCTTTATTCTCACTGCTACTGACAACAGAGCTGATCCACTGCATTGGGAAATGCTTGCCAGTTTTCGAAGAGCTCACGTGCAGATCACATGGCCTTGTGACCTGGGTACGGTGGCGGGGGGCTGGGGGGGGTTGAGCTGTCTCAGTGCCACACAGCTGGGAAGCAGGAACCCTGGCCCGGAACCCAGGTCCCTCCTTAAGCTGTCACGGGCCAGAGTCTTGCCCCTGATGGATTCCTTATTTCTGCTCATTATAGAATTTGTTTCCCCTAAATTGTCAGCATGAAGAACGCAGGAGGCTACTAGTTCCAGTGCTGCAGCAGACTAGACAGCCTGAGTACCCTTCCCTACAGTGAGGCAGGAATGCTGGATAAGACATAACAAGTGTTGTTAAAATGCTGACCCATGTCTTGCCCAGGTGAGGGATGTCCCCATGGACCACAGGTACAGATGCTATGGAAACCAGCCTGTGAAACTCACACGTGTGCCTGAAGTCTGCATTACTAGAAGCTTGGGTTTCATGCTCAAGGCAGAGTAAGAAGTGACACTTCGGACCCAGAGGAAGCAGAGACCACTGCAGAAAGGCAGATCCTCCTGTGGCTGCCCCCACCCAGCCAAGGGTGAGCTAGAAAAAAAATCTTTCCACAAACATAACATGAGAAGGAAGCTTCACGTGTTTTAGCCTGAGCTTAAAAAAGAAACCAACCAACCTAACAAACAAAAACGAAAGACCATTCACCTTTCAGAATATGCAGCTGGAGCCTGCTGCATGATTTTGTCTTGGGGTTCACATTTAGGGATCAGGAACCCCCAAGTTAATACAGTGGTATGAAAATAGAAACCAGGAAGGCAAATCTCCAGGGGAGCCCAGCCGAGGGTGACACAAAACACCCCCCTCTAGGGATATGTCCCAGCCACAGGATTCTGCAGATAAAGCCCTGCTCAGGACGAGCCCACAGCTCTAAATTGCAAAGCCCTTGAGGAAATAATTTTCCATGTCAGGAGATACAACAGACAATAGCATTAGACCCTGGAACTTCAGCTACCAGAACCACCTGACGGAGGCTGTAAGGTAGGTAGTATGCTTGGAAGGAGTAAGAATACACGCTGTGCCTGGGGAACGCAAAGTTTCAGGGGAAGATGACATAACTAAAAAAAAAAAAAAAAAGAACAGGTGGACATAGTAAAGAACCAAATAGAATTTCTAAAATGAAAAATAATAGAACCTAATAACTCGATGAACTTTTTCAAAATCAAGGCAAGAATGAGGTGAAGGAACACAAACAAAAGCTGGACAGAGGGATTGGAGGGCGGCTAGAGAGAGCTGAGAAGGGTGGGCAGGAGGAGGAGGGGAGGGAGGCTGGAGGGAGAGAAAGAGAAGGGCGGAGAGGAGGGAAGCTGTTCGGGGGAGAGCAAACATCTCAGTCCATCAATCAGCCGGTCACCGCGCCATATGCGTGTTAAGCACTGAGCAGGACTGGATGTCTGGATGGTAGACAGTGGGTGGGTGGGCAGTTAGGTGGTGGGTGGATGAACACATGGGTGATGGTAGATAGTAGACAGTGAGTAGTTAGGCAGTAAGGAGAGGGAGGAGTGAATGGTGGGTGAAGAGGTGGGTGGGTTGACGGGTAGCTGAATGAGTAGATGGACAGGTGGGCAGGCGATTAAGTAGTTGAAGAGATAATAGTTGCTTGGTTAGCTTGGTGGAGAGGTAGATGGATGAGCGAGTCAGCAGATGGGTAGGAGGGTGGATGGCTGAATACATGGTCGGGTGGGCAAGTGGATAGGGTAGCGGGTGGGTGGATGGTGAGTGGGAGACTGGTAGTTTAGTGGGGGGAGACAGTGAGTAGGTAGACGGTTGGGAGGTGGGTGAAGGGTGTTGGGTGGGCGGTAGTGAGCCCGTGAGTAAATGGATGGACAGTTAGTGGGCAAACAGGTGGCTGGATGGGTAGATGGGGGATAAATGGGTGGGTGGGTGGAGATGGAGCCCACCAAGCCTCACCTGGGCTTTGGCCTTCACTGCGTCGTACTCGGCCTTCATCCTCTTCTGGGCGTCCTCGTCCACGCTGGGGTCCCCGATCCTGTTGAACAGGGAGGCCGCCTCCTCCAGCAGCCGGTCCAGGAGCACGGCCTGGCTGTCCACGTTGTGCAGCAGCACCTGGGCGTGGCTCAGCTGCCACTGCTTCTCCTTCAGGCCCAGCTGCAGCTCCACGGGGGGCTCCAGCGTGACCGTCATCTTCTGGAACCAGCGGTAGAACTCATCTCGGGCCAGCAGGTACTCGCTCCAGTGCAGCCACACCCACTCGATGCGGCTGTGGGGAGAGACCTCGGGGTGTGAGGGGGCCCACCGCTCCTGGGCGGGAGGCCATGGCTCTCCCCAGTCCCGGGGGGCTGTGGGATGGCAGCACCATCACACCCGCTCTAGACTCAGAGTCGCCTGGGCAGCTGGTTGCCACCCAGATTCGGGCCTTCCCCCTGGATAAGACCAGGCACCCCAGATTCCAGACTCACTCCCAGAACCACCAGCCTTGGGGAGGCAGCTTGGGGAGCCCTTCAGCCCCAGCACCCCAAATCCTGGCCCTGGCTCCCACTATCCATGCACGGACACCCCCAATCATTTCTCTCTGGTGCTGGGACTCTGAACACAGCTGCCCCTGCCCTTAGCACATGCAGGTCCTCTGACAGTCAGGAGAAGACAGCCGCCGGGAACGTGCCCGGTCACTGGCAGAGCAGCACTGCATCTGTTGTGCTCATCATACCCAGTGGGGACGGAAGGTTGGCTACCCCCTTCCATCTTCCTGACACCCTCCAAGCAGCACTTGATTACCCCCATTGTCCAGAGGAGGCACTTGAAGTTCAGAGAGGTCTAGTAACCTTCCTGTGGCCACACAGGAAGTAATCAGTGGGGCAAGAGTCAATGCCAGGTCTGAGTCTGTGCTCCTCCCCCCAGCCCACACAACCACCACCTGGCTCCCTGATACAAGTGGGGAATCTGGGCTGCAGGGCCAGCAGGGCACAGGCCTTCTTTCTCCAGGGCCACTCTGTCATTCTGCGGCAAGACATGCTGACAGTCAAGTCTGTTAAGAATTGCTGGGAAAACACGCTGGGCTCCCAGTGTCTGTTACCATCATTAAGCTTGATTAGAATTAGAAAGAGGCAGGCAAGGTGGCCCAAATCCCAAGAGAACATCCTGTCCCCAGAAATCCCAGGACTGGAGAAATGTCCCTTGGGCAGAGGTCCCCGGCGCTGGCCGCCCTACCTGTGACAGTGAGTCATGTAGGTGACCGTTTCCTCCCACTGGGCCTTGATGTCCTTCAGCCGGGCCAGGATCTCGGGCCTCTGGTCCCTGGGGCAGCACGCCAGCAGGGCTTCGGCCGCCCGCAGCACCAGGTCCACCTTCACCCGCCCCTCGGGCTCCAGCTGGCATATTTTCTGTTGTGGACACAAAAGCCAGTTTCCAGGGCGAGGCAAATGCAGAGCGAGCCAGGATGCGGAGGCCAGAGGAGCTGGGCTCACATCGCAGCCCCTGCACCTGCACAGCTTCTACTGGGGCCCTGGGCAACCTGCTAAGGGCTCTGAGGGTGGAGGCGGGAGCCACGGAGGTTGGCAGAGGACGGCCCTGTGCCCTCTGCTGAGACCGAGGTCCTTCCCTGCCCACTCGGCCCGTTTCCGGCTTTGCAAACTCAGAAGGGGTTCTTTCTCACCTCGGACTTGGTTTTCTCAAGGTGGAGGTATTAACAGTAGCTACCTTCCAAAGTGTTGTCAGGATTAATGAGAAAATGCATGTAACGTGCATGTCCCAGCACATCTGAGCATCTGCCTCTCAGGTGCGCTGCAGGGAGCCGGCTGGACCAGGGCCCCAGCTGAGTGAGGCTCCGGAATCATCTCTGCTTTTGCAGTTTGCACCAAGGCCTTGCTGCTGGGCTGCTCCCCCAGAGACCAAGCTCTGCGGGAACACCAAGGCAGGCCCATTCCTGGGAGACGCTGGGTGAGTGACTTTATTTAACTCAAGGACAGCCTGAAGCCTTGCAGACTCCCTCAGAATCCATGGCAGTGTAAGATGCCGCCTCCTGCCCCCACCTCCCTCCCTGCTCTCCTGGCCATGGGGCCAGGCCTGCACCCCTCTCACCCGGCTCTCCCAGCTCCCTCCCTCCCCATCTTCTCTCAGGGGCGCTCCCCTAATAAATGCCGTGCACACTGAATCTCGTCTTGGCATCGGCTTCCTGGAGGATGGAGACTGACACGTGACGTCCTGCACGTCCTCAGTCTCCAGTCAACGCTAGCTGCCGGCATGACTCTCGGTTATCATCCCAGTTCACTGGCAGCTACAGCTCGGTCTCTGTAGTCAGCTATGCCTGGACTCCAATTCCAGGGCCACTCTTGCTACCTGTGTGACCTTTGTCAGGGGACTTCAATCCTCCAGGCCTATGAAATGGGGGAAGGTCACAGTTGTGCTGCCAGTTGCAGTGAGCATTAGGCAATGCGGGAGGAACCCTTAGCACGCTGCCTGGCCCACACCACGTTCTCAGTCACTGATTGTTCCCTATTAGTATTATCTTTTCTTTTTAGAGACAGAGTCTCACTCGGTCTGTTGCCCCAGCTAGAGTGCAGTGGCGTGATCATAGCTCACTGCAACCTCCAACTTCTGGGCTCAAGCAATCCTCCTGCCTCAGCCTCCCGAGTAGCTGGGACTACAGGCATGTACCACCATGCCCGGCTAATTTTTTTTAAAACATTTTTGTAGAAATGGGGTCTTGCTATGTTTCGCAGGCTGGTCTCAAACTCTTGGCCTCAAGCTATCCTCCCTTCTCAGCCTCCCAGAGTGCTAGGATTACAGGCCTGAGCCACCACACCTGGCCATTAGCATCTTTTATTTGCCTTTGGATCACATTTCCTGACAGCTCACATTTGCCTAAAGCTCAAACCAGATCCCCAGCTGTCTCCCTAGGGGCTGGTGGTCAGTTGCCTCGTTGTCCCAGTGGCCTGGTTGTCTCTGACGCTTCTCTGTGGAAGGGTGGGGGAAGGGCTCCTGACGCCTCGGATGCTGCCCCACTGATAGCTGTGCAACCCCGGGCAGGTCACTCCACTACTCTGTGTCTTCCTTTCTCATCCCGAGACAATGATAACACAATCTGTTTCGTTAACTCGCAGGGTTATAACAATAATTTTTAAAAGACCATTAATTAAAACATGGATATAAGTTTGTAAACTCTTAAGCAGTTGGGCACTGGTCCCAATCCTTTTTGTCACTTCATGTGATAATGGTTAATGATGATGATGATGGTGGTGGTGATAGTAGAGGGACTTCCCATCCTACCTGTGTTATCAAGGAACAAGATTAAATAAGCTCCCTCCACAGCTTGCCTCTGTGTGCACACAAGGGCACGAGGGCGTGGGGCGCAGGTAGAGCGGGGAGAAGACAAGATTCCCCAGGGCAGAGTTTATTTGTCTGAGTAGCAGGACATGGCAGGGTCCCAGAGGGCAGTGGCTGCAGCAAGCACCCAGATAGGGAACCCCGAGTCCCTCTCAGCAGCCAGCAGTGACGTGAAAGACAAAAGTAGCTAGTGTGGGCTCAAGATCCAAGGGCCACTGCAGAAGAATGTTCTGGACTGAGTATGATTGCCCACCCGGGACATTTCATACCACTTAGGAGCAGGGGCCCACAGCGTGGCTGAGGATGGCTTTCTCACTATGCAGAAAGAGGTTTCATTTGATGAAGAACAATAAGGAGAAGATGTCGCTTCTGACTCCCAGAGCTGTGAAGAGACTTCATAGTCCCCGAGCCAGCCGGATGGGCATCGTGATAATTCCAGTTTTACAGGCAAGGCCGCCAGGGACCCACGGAAACCCCGAGCTCTGCAGAGAGAGTCTCCGCGGCAGTCAGAGGCCTGCCCTACACCTGCTGCCAATCTCAGCTCGGGGGGTGGGAGGGTCCCGCTCTGTAGAGCAAGGGTGCCAACAACTTCGGGGAAGAAGAGAAATCCAATCTCTCTCTGCCACACCCAGGAGGAGCCAGCCAGGCCCGGAAAGCCCCGAGAGTACAAAGCTTGGCGTCCCGATTGCGTGATCTGCCCCAGGCCTGTGGACCTTGGCCCTCCTTGTCCTCGTGTTGGGGACACAGGCTGAACCGGGGGACGCGGAGGGGGCGGACGTAGAGACCCCAGGCCCCCTGCCCTTTTCGAGCGAGTGAGTTTGATGCCTCCCTGCTGAAGGGAGAGCTCTGCCCTGAAACCCCAACCAGCGGGGCAGTTGGCTGCGGGGCTGAAGCCAGGAGAGGCCAGAGGCCGCGGCTGAGCTGCCAGAGCCGAATTTTGAGAAGTAGATTCCAGCCTCCTCCGCTGCCCTGAGGACTCCGCTCTTTGGCTGGCGCACACGGTTCTTTGCAGCCCGTCGCCAGCGAGGATGTGGCCCAGGAGTGCTTGGCAAAGGCCGCTCTGCCCCTGGGAAGGCGTACTAGAACTGCGGCCACGAAGTCATTCCGATTCGAAGCAGCAGCCAATGAGGGCAGTGGTAACCCGGGGATCGGAGGGAGGGAGAACCTCAGGGAGGAGAAGAACCAGGAGACTGGGAGCGTGGAGGGATGGGGCTTACCAGGGTTTTCCCTGAACACAGCCAAGACCAGCCGACCAGCAGCTGAGCAGTTGCCGGGCCCTGGGGTCCGGGATGGACGGGACCAGGACGCAGCCCGGCGCTTCCAGGCTGGGGGAGGGAGGGCTGCAGACAAGAGCACAGACGACAGCAAAAAGAGCCATGAGAGACCACAGAGCCTCATGGGAGCTCAAGGAGGGATGGGGGAAATCCAAGAAGGCTTCGTGGAGGAGGTCGCCTCAGCAAGCAAGCCTTATAGTTCAGGCAATTGGAGAAACGGGTTTGAACAAAGGTAGAGAAGCAAGATGTCTTTAGGAATGGGTGGCCCTGGAAGCCAAGGTCCCTGGAAATGCTAGGGGGCCCCTGACCAGGAAGGGGCCTGGAGCCTGTGAGGAAGCTGCCTGGCTGAGGCCAGGACCCAAGTGTAAGGCTGGGGAGGCTGGGAACCAGAGAGCGAAGAAGACAAGATGCAAGACCGGCTCCCGGGGGCCCGGCTGTCAGGGACAGTGCACATGGTATGTTTCCCAGCCTCTAGAAGCACAGGAAACAACCGCCCGTGTGTGCCCAGCTCTGCGGGAATACCCTGCACTGTGCCAAGTACGGACACGGATTATTTGCCTTAATCTTCCCTCCTTCCTGCAAGGCAGCGACTGCCCCTTTTCCCAGGAGCAAGCCGAAGTTTAGGGAGCTCCGGAAATCTCTCCTGAGTTGCACGGCCACAGCAGATACTGGAGCCCAGGCTTCCTGGCCCCGGCACCCAAGCCCTCAACCTGAGCCCCGGGCATCCCGCCTCCCAGGAGCTGCGGTCTCTCTGTTGCTCTGCACGGAGGCTGCCACTCCACGAGGGGTCTTGAGTCCCCTGCAACCGCTCGGCAACACAGGGGCGAGGGGGTCCTTTACAGAGGGGAAAATGGGGTTCCAGGAGGGCATGGGACCCATTCCGGGCCACACAGCTGCTAAGGGACAGAACGGGATTGGAACCCGTGTCCCTGTCGCCGTGGCACTGGAGACGTGGCATGCTTAGCTGAGTCGGTGAAGGCCTCACAGGGAACCCGGGGGAAGCTCTGTGGGTGGGCGGAGAAGGCCCCAGCTGCTCCCTTTCCCAGACGGCAAGAGAGAAATGTTTCCTTTCTTATTGTGAAGTTGCTTTTGAAACGTCAACGCACATAGAAAATGCAGCATGCCTGAGCCGCGTGGGAGGGGACAGTGGCAGAGAGCCCGGGATGTGACTCCCCTCTGCCCAGATTCACCCGGGGCTCGCCGGATGGAAGTTCTCCCTCTGCCTTCTGCGCCCGTCCACCCTGGCCTGGCCGACGGCCCTTCCTAAGAGCCGCCCTTGCCCTTGCCTAAGCCAGACCCACCGGCAGGAGGCAAAGAGCCACCACAAGGGCACAAATGTCCAAGTGCCGGGCGCCCAGAGGCCGCGGGTACATGTGCAGGGCTGTGATGCTCAGACGGAGCAGGCCAGGTGCCGGGGCTGGGAGAGGGCAAAGGTTGGTCAGGATAGATGGGGACGAGGGGGTGTTTCGTTTCTCATGCACACCCAGCCCCAAACAAAACGGCGTTCCAAGTAGAGGCAACGCCCGGACAAAGGCCCGATGATAGGAAGTCAAGCGGGTTTTCTGCCGACAGGAGACTGTGAGTTTGGGAGATGTGACAGTGGGGGTGGGGTGGGGAGCTGAGTCTGGAAAACAGGGTCGTGCAGACAGTGGAGGACGCTTGATGCCAGGTGAAGTCTGGTTTTTCTTTGGTGGGCAATGGGGAGCCATGGAAGGTTTCAGAGGAGGAGAATAGCATCACGAGACCCATGTTAAGGATGTTCCTCATACAGGCTTGTGTGGCTACCCTGGTTATTTGCATACCTGCCTCTCCCCTTAGGCTGTGAACCTTTAAGAGCAGGGTGTGCCTCACCCACCCCACGGCCCCAGGTGCACCTGGATGGCAGAAGGAAGGGGTGGTCTGCTCTTTGCGATCTGTCAGGGAGGCTCCCCCTCTGGGTGGTGGAGTGAGCAGAGAAGGGAGCTAGACCGTGAGTGAGAAAGCCCTCCAGGCAGAGGGAACGGTAAGTGGACGCTCAATTTCCCCAACTGCAAAATGCAGATAATGGCTCCTCCCTGGTCATGTTCTTAAACCATGATGCTTAAACCAAACATTGACTCTGAAAAGGTGATGTAAATGCTTAATTTTTACTGTTCACTTCCAAAGAAAGCATGAGCTGTTTATAACAAAAGGCACAAAATCAGTAAGACAACATCCTTTCTTGCCAGGTGTGGGGTCACCACCACTTCCAACCTAGCTGGGTGATGGGTTTGCTGCAGGAGAAGGTAGGTCCTTCTCTAAGAGCAACAAGCATCGTTGGGTGATGAAGTAGAATTATGGGATAGCTAAATGGATGTGATCCCAGAAGTATGTAAGTCAACTGCTCCATTTACAGATGGGAAAATGAGGCCCAGAGAGGGGCAGGCACTTGGCCAAAGTCACATAGCCCTCTAGCATCATCGTGGAGATTGTAACTCAGGTCTCTGACTCTCAGTTCAGGGTTCTTCCCCTTGTCCCCGGCAGCCCATTCTGAGGCCAGGGCAACACGACGCCTGGCCAGGCACTGGGTGCCAGTCCTTTAATGCTACTTCGACTGAGGTCCTGCCTTGTACCAGATGGGTGGGTCAAGTGAGACCCTGGCTCTGAAGCAGCTCAGGGGGTCACTCCTGTCACTGGGAAGAGCCCCCTCCCTACCATGCTGAAGGCAGACCTGGGCCAACCCAGACCCGGCAGGGACCCCAGCCACAAGGAAGCAGGGAAGGGGCTGGCTGGGGATGGGGACCCACCTGGCTGCACGGGTGCCCCTGCTGGGACAGGAGGTCAGCGGGCATGCTCTTTGTCCCTCACCGAGAGTGTGGCCCACGTCCCAGCAACAACGACATCACCTGGAGCTCGTCAGAAACCCAGGCTCTTGGGCCCCACCACCACCCACCTGATCAGACTCTCCATTTAAACAAAATCTCCAGGAGATCTGGAGACACATGGAAGTTTGAGAAGCACCGTCTAGCCCAGCCCTGCCATTCGACAGACGGGAAACCTGAGGTCCGAGGGGGAGGGATGTGGATGGCCCGGGCCGCAGGGCCCCGAGGCCATGCCTCTGCTTACCTCTGTCTCCCGGAGCCTGGCCTCCAGGGCCGCACGGGGCCCCTGGGTGTTGTCGCTGACCTGCAGCCGCTCCTGCACGGCCTTCATCCACGCCTGGGCGTCCTCCACGCTCCTGTCGAAGCCCTCCTGGGGCTGCTGAGTCATGGCACCTGTGGGGGCTGGGGAAGGACCGCAGGGGTTAGCAGGGGCTGCGGGGAGGCCCCCAGGCAGGCTGGTGGGAGGGGACAGGCCCACGCCCCACCGCCAACATCCTCCCTGTGCTCCAGTTGGGGGATGCGGCCAGAGGCCAGCGTGTTTGTCGCACAGCCAACGCACTGAGATGACGGGAAGGAGAACAAGTCCGGCCTCTCTCTGCCACTGAGCCGGGACAGTGGCTCAGGGCACCACCGGGCTGGCCAAGTGTCTCTCTCTTTGGCCCTTCAGCTTCCCTGCTCCCTCTTCCCCCAGTGTGGGGCTCCCGGGCGACTCTCTTCTGTCTGTTCAGGCTGAAGGCCTGGACCTCAAAAGTCCAGTCCGAGACACCTGGACCCATAATAAAGACTGATTGGAATGGATCAAAGAAGTCTCCACCTAAGGAACATAGTTTCAGGCATCGGCCAAGCTGACGCCAGCCCTGAGCTCCACCTGGGGTCAAGGACCCTCTCAGGCTGGGCTGGCCATGTTAGCGGCCTGTTGTCCCTCCTTCTCCACCGCCCTGGGTCCACAGCAGCTGCTGCCCATCAGCTGGCTTCGTGTTAGCTCTGCAACCCACCTGCTGCTTCTGCCCAAGGGGACGCCCATGGCGCTGGCATAGGTCACCTGCCAAGCCAACTCCCTTTGCTCGACTGTCCACCCCGCAGCCTAGCCTGGGCTGTGGCTGCAAAGTCTCAGGTTTCCTCCTGTGCCTTTCTCAAAGCCCAGGCAAAACTCTTCCGTATTCCAGTTCTAGCTGTCTGCTTGTAGTAACTACAGCCTGCTTGGACTAAAGTTATTGGTATGTGCATTTTATGGGGAGGACTTGTGTCTGGCTTATCCTCCAACCTCCCGCAATGCCTTACACAGAGTAAGCCCAGTGTTGAACTAGCCCAGAATGGGTATAAGTTTAACACACCAAAAAGCTCGCCACAGCATTATATAAAACTGCAAAACAAAGGTAGAAACAATCTAAGTGCCCAACGACAGGGAATTTGTTCGTTAAAATATGGTACATTTGCACTTTAGAATATTATGCAAATGATGCTTAACATGAATTTGTGAAGGGGAGTTTTTAGGATAATACAAGGCCGGGCGCGGTGGCTCACGCCTGTAATCCTAGCACTCTGGGAGGCTAAGGCGGGTGGATTGCTTAAGGTCAGGAGTTCGAAACCAGCCTGAGCAAGAGTGAGACCCCCATCTCTACTAAAAATAGAAAGAAACTAATTGCCCAACTAAAAATACAGAAAAAAAAAAAAAATAGCCGGGCATGGTGGCACATGCCTGTAGTCTCTACTACTCGGGAGGCTGAGGCAGGAGGATCCCTTGAGCCCAGGAGTTTGAGGGTGCTGTGAGCTAGGCTGACGCCACGGCACTCACTCTAGCCTGGGCAACAGAGCGAGACTCTGTATAAAAAATAAAATTAAAAAAAAGAAAAGGATAACACAAAAAAATGAGCCAAAATTATGTATTGAGTAGTCACAATTCTATAGCTAATAAAAGAAAAGTGAAACATTAATGACCACAGAAAACAACACTCAGAGAAAGGCTGGGAAGTCTTGTCATTAGAAGGCTCGTGTGCCTGGGCCGGAGCCAGGGCGCGTGGGCAGAGTGGCCTTGGCCACTCCCAGGCCTGGCGGTTTAGCACATCCCGTGTGATCTTCCCTCCGGCCCCTCTCTCCTCGGCGTGGGCAGATGCCCAGTGACCTTGGAGGCCACTTGGTTAAGGACGATCATCTGTGGTTGATGGGACCACCACTGGAAGGTTTCTATCCTTATTTTTCTCTTAGCCACTTTGTGAATTTTCTAGAAAGGTTAATTATTACTTTACAATGAAAACATTAAAAAAAACAAACAAAACCCTTTCCTTGACATCTGCTAAATTGCTTGTTGGTTCTTTCTTCTCAGTGATCAGTTGGTTGTTCAACAAGCACCTGCTGGGAACCAGGACGCCCTCCCCGCTGGGCCGAGGGTCGAGGGTCAAGGGTCGGCCAGGAGAAGACTGCTGACCCAGCAGGCTGGGCTCTGCGACTGAGCGGCCGGAGATTCTCCCTGTGTGCTGCTTTCCTTCCAGAGCTGTTTTGATTTTCCCTAACAACTTAACATGTTGTCCCCTGCAGCCACTCCCTGTTTTTGAAAAGCACATTAGAATGTGAGGCGTTTAAATTGGTTCACTGTGGCAATAATTTCTTGTCTAGAGTGTGGCTTGACTGCCTTCCAAAAGCTCGGCTTTTATTTTTATAAAGCAAGGAGTGGCAGGGACAGAAACGAGTCTCCCTGAGTTTCAGATGACAGGACAGTGGGGCTCCACGGCTCTAACCGCGACACGCAGCGAGGTTTTGGACAGCCCTTCCCATCGGACGTGCCCGTGGCCGTGAGGCACAGTGGTCTAGGGACCCCCAGGTGCGTCACATGGAACACAAGGGCCAGCGGGCCGAGCTAACTAGCCCCGTGGGCTGGGCGAGGTTGCAGGCACAGTGTAGGAGGCCCCGGGCCTCCTCTTGGCCTATTCTGCCAAAACACTCGGATTTAACTCAATGACACAATCAGGAACCGAGCACGCTCCGTCCAAGGCCATGGCACCAACTGACAGACAGCAGGCGCCGACCCTGCCCTAGAGAAGCTCTCGGAGGATGGAGTAGCTGCGCATAGAACACAGTGTGGCTGCACAGGTGGATGAGCCACAAGTGGGGGTGGGGTGGGGTGAGGGCGTGGGGTGGGGGAGGAGAAGGCTAAACTCTCCCGTGAACCTCTTCTCAGAGTAAGGGCTTTGAATGCCAAGAATAAAGTGCAAAGAATTGCAAAGGAAACCAATCATGTTAAAACCTAGTTACCAGGCGGGGCACAGTGGCTCACGCCTATAATCCTAGCTCTCTGGGAGGCCGAGGAGGGCGGATTGCTCAAGGTCAGGAGTTCGAACCCAGACTGAGCAAGAGCGAGACCCCGTCTCTATTACAAATAGAAAGAAATTAATTGGCCAACTAATATATATAGAAAAATTTAGCCAGTAATGGTGGCGTATGCCTGTAGTCCCAGCTACTCGGGAGGCTGAGGCAGGAGGATCACTTGAGCCCAGGAGTTTGAGGTTGCTGTGAGCTAGGCTGATGCCACGGCACTCACTCTAGCCTGGGCAACAAAGTGAGACTCTGTCTCAAAAAAGAAAAGAACAACAACAACAACAAAAACCTAGTTACCAAATACTAAAAATCAAATTCATGAGATACGCGTGCGCACACACACACACACGCACTTCTTTATTAATACATTAAATCACAAGACCTAACCATGGGCTGAGCGCAAACAACATATCAAGATACCAGTGACAATCACGATGCAGCCAAAAACATACATGTGACAAAGTTCCAGGTGCTGCCAATGCCGGGGGTGCTGGTTGTGCCTTGCGTGTAACTGAAGGACGAACAGTCAGCTAGAGGTGGGTAGGACGGTGTTAGTTTCCCATCCAAGCTCATGGGCCCCCAAATTCTATCTGCAGACCCCTGTCAGTCCCTGGGCCCCAGGTGAGAGTCCTGCTCTAGGCCTCCTGAGACAAGTCATCAGCCCTTCATTAATGTCAATGGAGGGACGAGTGAGCAGATGAAGTGACCCGCAGTGCTGGGTTGGAGGAGGGGTGGGGACTTCCTAAATGCCCAGTTATGGCCAAGGTGGGGACAGCAGGAGAAAGTCCTGGGCTTGGAGTCTGAACATTTTCCCTGAGCAAATGCCTTTGCCTCTCTGGACCTCAGTTTCCCTGTCTGTACACTGCAAACAGGGAGTCTCTGAGGGATCCCCGAGGTTGTGGGCTAGAGGGTCCCTATTACCGAGGGCCCTGTGAACCAGGTCAAGCCCGGCCCCACTGGGCCTGGGGACCAGCCTCTGCCCTTGGACTGCCAGCCTGGTCTGGGCCCCAGCTCATTTCTTTGCCCACGGGACCCTCAGCCAGCGTCGGGCACCACTTCCCACATCGCTGCGTGCTCTAGGTGGGCGGTGGGCCGGCTCCCACGGCCGTGACTGCTCACAGCCACCGGTCACTCCCGGAACCCCTTCCAAGGGGGATGGTCAGGGGACATTTTACATCAGCGAGGGGACGGGGGCACACTGTTCCTGTACAGGGCCAGGCAGTGAACCTTTTTAGTCTCTGTGGGCCACAAACAGTCCCTGTTGCATAGTCTTCCTTGTTTCTACAATCCTTTACAAACGCAAGAGCCGTTCTCAGCTCACTGGTTGTACAGAAACAGACCACAGCCCGGACTGGGCCGATGGGCTGCCGTGTGCCAGCCCCTGTCTTGGATGGTCCCAGGCTGCAACCAGCAACTGCAGAAAGCCCAGCTGCCAGCCAAGCTCGCTGGCCAAGTGACCCCAGAGGCATGTGTCCAGCACAGGGCTGGCCTCAAGGCCAGAAGGACCTAGAATGGGTTCTGGTGGTACAAACCCAGAGACTCACTAGCTGTGTGACATCTGGCCAGTCACTTAACCTCTCTGGGTATCCACCTCCTCATCTGGAAAGTGGGGGTAACACCTGGATTAACGATTAACGAAAACACCACCTACCCAGAACCTGGGGTCCATGCCATGCTTGAAACGGTTCCCTTCTTCCTAAATGCGTGTGTCAGGTGGACGCTTTCCCTCCCTAGGGACCTGCATTTGGACCAAGGCTCTCACCTTCTCAAGGTTGGCGTAGGGAGGGACAGGGGTCACCGGCTGTCAGACGAATGAATTTGTGCATACAAGTGGCTGCGGAGCGCCAGGTGTGAGGTGCAGATCAGCAAGCTACAGCGCAGGCCAGTGCGAGCCCGTGAGAGGGGACCAGAGCGGCAGGGGGCCACAAAGAAGTTGGGCTGGCTGGCAGGTGCTGCCTGCCAGGGGCACAGGACTGGGCTCCCGGCGCACTGGGGGTGGGGCTTATGGAGGGGGCGGCTGAGGCTGGAGCATGGGAACAGGCATAGTCCATGGAGGAAACTGGAGTGGGGGCATGGGCCAGGCCAGAGAG